CTCTACCACTGAGCTACATTCCCAGCCCCATATTATAGGATTTTTTGGCGGGGAGGGGTCAGTCGTTGGGTTTGAACTCTGGGCCTAGGCGCTGTCCCTCAACTCTTTAATTCCAGGCAAGTACTCTACCACTTAAGCCACAGTGCCACTTCTGGCTTTTTCTGTTTATGTGGTGCTGAGGAATTGAAACCAGGGCTTCATGCATGCAAGGCAAACACTCTACCACTGAACCACCACATATTACAGGAATTTTAAACCAGAAATTTTCTTATAAAAAGTTTTGAATAGGGCTGGGAATATAGCTTAGTGGTAGAGTGCTTGCCTAGCATGTATGAAGCCCTGGGTTCAGTTGTTCAGTACCACATAAACAGAAAAAGCCAAAAGTGATGCTGTGGCTCAAGTGGTGGATTCCTAGCCTGAGCACAGAGAGGCTTAGGGACAGAGCCCAGGCCCTGAGTTCAAACCCCAGGACCTGCCAAAAAAATTTTTTTTTTGAACATACACTGAAATAAATGTATAATCAACCCCCATATACTCTTTGCTTGATGTTTAGCAGTTACCAATAATTTGTTATATTTCTATCATTTTAGCTGACTTTAGATGTAAGATACTCATCTAGCTGGGATTACTGGCATAAATTATAACCCCTGACCCAAAAATTGAGTGTTTTTTTTTCCTCTTTTCTTTTTTCGTGTGTGTGTGTGTGTGTGTGTGTATGTGTGTGTGTATGTGTGTATGTGTGTGTGTGTGAGAGAGAGAGAGAGAGAGAGAACATTGGGATTTGAATACTTTTCAATATATGTGTATATTTCAGTACATATTCAGATTTCTCCTTTAAAAATGTCTTTATAGTTTATATGTTAAAAATAGAATTCAGTAAGATCCTCAGATAGAACTTGTTTTCTTCAGTGTTCCCTAATTTAACTTTTTAAAAATATATGTTAAAATAAATATATAATAAAATATATAGTAAAAATACTATACAGAGGTTACAGGACATGAGTAAGGTAATGAGTACATTTCCTATCCAGTATTGTTACTTCCTCCTTTGTTTTTCCTCTACTGTCCCTTCCCTCCCCCCCCCAAGTTGTAAAGATCTACATAGTGTCTTGAACCTCTCATTGTTATAATGAGGCAACTTGTATCCTTATTTCCCTTCCCTCTCCTAATTAGAAAAATGTATATACAAGATGCTGGCTACTGAATCAAATACAGTGAAAATATGGGTTATATCATGAGGGAAGAACATACAAAGGAAACAGAAAAAAATCACATAGTATAAATACATTAAAAAATAACAGCAAGAAAGATAAAACCATTGGTGTCCCTATCTTGGGGTTCATTTTGCTTAGCATCATTTTATATGGTCATATGTACATAGCTTTGACCTTTTCTGCTTGTCCTAGATATATACTAGTTATTGCAAATAAGGAACCTATGGTTTTTTGGGCCTGCCTTACTTCACTTAATATAATTTTTTCCAAGTCTTTTCCATTTCCTAACAAATGGGGCAGTGTCATTCTTTCTGATGGAGGCATAGAATTATATATATATATATATATGTGTGTGTGTGTGTATATATATATATATATATATATATATATATATATATATATATATATATATATAATTATGTATACATACACACACACACCACTTTTTTTTTTCGGTTGTGGGCCTGAACTCTGGACCTGGGCACTGTGCCTCAGCTCTTCAGCTCAAGGCTGGTGCTCTACCACTTGAGCCACAGTGCCACTTCCGACTTTTTCTGCTTCTATGGTGCTGAGGAATTGAACCCAGGGCCTCATGCATGCAAGGCAAGCACTCTACCACTGAGCCATCTTCCCAACCCATACCACATTTTCTTGATCCATTCATCTACTGAGGGGCATCTGGGTTGGTTCCAATCTTAGCTATGGTAAATAATGCTACAATAAACATAGTTGTGCTGCAGCTTTAGTATAGCCTTGTTTGTGATCTGTTTGGTAAATGCCCAAAAGTGGGATTGCTGGGTCATAGGGGAGCTCTGTGTGGAGTCTTTTGAGGAACCTCCATACTGCTTTCCAAAGTGGTTGAACAAGTTTATACTCCCACCAGCAATGCAGTAGTGTTCCCTTTTGGCTACATCTGCTCCAGCATCTGTTGTTACTAGATTTCTTAATTATAGCTATTCTAACTGGGGTGAGGTGGTATCTCAATGCTGTTTTGATTTCCATTTCTTTTAGGCTAGAGAAGTTGAGCATTTCTTCATGTGTCTATTTATTGGCCATTCTTACTTAGTCTTCAGAGAACTGTCTTTAAGCCTACTCATTAATCGTGCAGTTTCTTTGAAGATTTGTTTGTAGGGGATTCCTAATTTAAATTTAAAGTATTGGAGAAACTTCCTCTTTTTTTTTTTTTTCTGGTCGGTCGTGGGTCCTGAACTCTGAGCCTGTGCGCTGTCCCTCAGCTTTTCAGCTGATTGCTAGCACCCTACCACTTGAGCCACAGCGCCACTTCTGGCTTTTTCTGCTTATGTGGTGCTGAAAAATCAAACCCAGGGCCTTATACATGCAAGGCAAGCACTCTACCACTGAGCCACCTTCCTAGCCCCGAGAAATTTCCTTTTTCAATCTCTAATTCTCCTATAGTTCTCAAATCAGGCTTTTTTTTCTTTTTAATATTTCACATTCTGGATTAGTCTGTGCTTAAAAAATCTTGATTAGATTTAGGTTCAATCTCTTTGGGTTGAAAATCACAATAGGCTATACTTCATACCACATTATAAAAACATATATATGAATGTTCACTTATTCAATGACAGCAGTGCTGCCATTGAATTCTACATATTTAAGCTGAACTGTCTGCATAATATTATAAACTATCTGATGGTTCATCTGATGGTGATATTCTGATGGCCTGCCCTTTTATATTCTTTTGCTTGGACTCATCCCCCCCCCCCCCACTTTGTGATACTGAAGAATCACAAGTATGGCCTTACTGAACAGGTGCTCAACCAACTACCTACATCCTCAGCTGATATTTAAAAAAAATTTTTTTTTGGCCTGGTGCGGGTGGCTTATTTTATAATCCTAGCTACTCCAGGAAGCTGAGATCGGAGGATCTCAGATGGATTGGTGGTAGAGTATTTGTCTAGGATGCATGAAGCCCTGGGCTTGATTCTTCAGTACCACATAAAGAGAAAAAACCAGAAGTGGCTTTGTGGCTGGAGTGGTAGAGGGCTAACTTTGAGCAAAAGAAGCTCAGGGACAGGACAATGCGCAGGCCCTAAATTCAAGACCCAGGACTGGGGGGACAAAGCATATTATAAATTACAGGGAAATATTTGAAGCCAGCCTAGTCAGAAAAATGCGTAAGATTCTTATCTTCAGTGAACTACCAGAGAATCCAGAAGTGGAGCTGTGACTCAACTGGTAGGGCTCTAGCCTTGAGCATTAGCAGAGTTTGAACTAGTGCTAGAGATAGTTTGGCAGATTTTCTTATTGTTGAGCTGTGCCTTAAGTCCTGATTTTGCTGGTTATTTTTAAGATAGTCTTGTTCCATACCTGAGTGCAAGGCTGGGCACTGTCCAGTTAACGTTCACTGTAGTTATAACAGGCTCATGCTATAGTGCCCAGCTTTTCATTGAGGAGATGGGGGTGGTCTCAAGCACTCTTTTGCCTGGGCTGGCTTTGAACCTTAATCCTTTCAATCCCATTTTCCCAAATGTCTAGGATTATAGGCATGAACCAACAGAGTCCTGCTGATTTTTACCTTTTTATTTATTTATTTATTTATTTATTTATTTATTTAGGGTCCGGTCATGGGGCCTGAACTCTGGGCCTGGGCGCTGTCCCTCAGCTCTTCAGCTCAAGTCTAGTGCTCTACCACTTGAGCCACAGCACCACTTCCGGTTTATTTTTTCTTTTTTGCTTATGTGGTGCTGAGGAATCGAACCCAGGGCCTCATGCATGCAAGGCAAGCACTCTACCACTGAGCCACCTTCCCAGCCCTGATTTTTACCTTTTTAATTACTGAAGCCTGTTTGTCTTGTTGCAGTAATATTTCCCTGTAATTTATAATACACTTTTTGTTTTTCTATTCCTGGGGCTTGAACTCAGGGCCTGGCCACTCTCCTGTACCTGAGCTTCTTTTGCTCAAGGTTAGCCCTTTACCACTCCAGCCACAAAGCCACTTCTGGCTTTTTCTGTTTATGTGGTACTGAGGAATTAGGCAAAGCACTCTACCACTAAGCCACATTCTCAGTCTGCTTTAATATTTTAAAGTTACTTTTTTGAAAGGTATAGTAGGTACAAAGCTTCTTTTAATAGTTTGGATGGCATAGATGTTGCATAATATCTTTGATGGTGTAGCTGTTTTTTATCTTGCTGCTATAAAATACCTATATCAACATTTTAAATATCTAATTTTTAAAAAGATAAATGTTAGCTTTTCTTCAAACAAATGGGTTACTTGAGTGGCTTGAAGTATGCTTTTATCTAGGTCTTGCTGATATTAAGACTCTTTTCAGGAGCTGGGAAGGTGGCTCAGTGGTAGAGCGCTTGCCTTGCATGCCTGAGCCCCTGGATTCGATTCCTCAGCACCAGATAAGCAAAAAGAAAAGGTCGGAAGTGGCGCTGTGGCTCAAGTGGTAGAGTGCTAGCCTTGAGCTGAAGAGCTGAGAGCGCCCAGGCCTAGAGTTCAGGCCTCATGACCGGACCCCCACCCCCCTCAAAAAAAAGACTCTTTTCAAATGTCCTTCCTAATTATTAGTGTTCCTAGGTGACAGTTCCAGGAAAGCAGTCCTGTTAACTAAGTTATTTATGTGATTTATGTTTATCAGTTTTGCAGAAGGAGAATTTAAAAGTATTGGCTTGTATATAGGCAAGTAAATATAGCAATTGTTGAAAAATCGTAATATTAAACTGTCAGTATTTTCACATTCTTGCCTACTTGAATTTTTGCATATTTGCATTTTTCCTTTTTGGAGACATGCATTTTATTTCTCTTGTTTTGGCTAGACAATTGGCATTTCACCCGAAGAAAAGTTTGTTATTACAACTACAAGTAGGAAAGAAATTACTCATGATAATTTTGGTAAGTAAATTATATTATTGTTTATAGTTTTATATTTAATATGATATAACAGTAACTATTTTACTAACCTAGATATCTATTTAAAACTGTTGATGATTTTGGTTAATTGGTTTGATAAGAGGAAACTGGCTATGTGTGTCAGTGAGATTATAATACATATCGTTACATTACACTACTTAGGTATTATTTTTTGAACACTACTAATAGAAAAATAGTTATTGTTTAGGGGTACAAAAGGTGAGACTCTTGTTGGAGGGATCTGTTTTAAAAATCTGTTTTTCTTAGCCAACTTGAATTTTTCCATTATCTTTTTATACCCCATAAAAAGGTTTGTGAGACGTGCTACTTTTTTTTCCCCATTGATACATAGATCCTGTTACATAGCCTAGGATTAAACCCAACTCACAGTTCTCTTGTCTCAGCCTCCCTAGTGTTAGGATTACAGGAATGTACCACCATATCCAGGTTGATTGTTTCTCTTAAATGTAACTAGTTTTCTCCAGGTTCACACCACTTCAAGGCAGATTTCCATCTGCCTTCCTCTTGACAGTTTAACCTATTAGGAATTGTTTCATATAAGTGGAAATGTTTATGCATGTTCCATTGATATCCTTAATAAAATATAACTGGAATTTATAGATAACATGGTTTGGCAGTTTGCATGTATCATTGTTAAAAGATATTCAAGATACAGTTTGTATAATCAAAATTATTTCATTGAGCTTCTTATGTCATTTTAGTATTTAAAATTTAACTCTGATTACAGATGACACTGTTAAAGATGGAGTCACTTTATACCTGTTGCAGTCAGTCACTCAGTTATTACCAGCAGCTACAAAAGAACGAATTGACTTTCTACCTCACTATGACACACTTGTTAAAAGTGGCATGTATGAATATTATGCAAGTGAAGGACAAAATCCCTTGCGTAAGTATTCCATTGATACAAATTTTGACAAACTATTATTCTCTTTAATCAACTAAAACATGTTCCATTCTCTCATATTTTACATGTTTCTCATTCTATGCTAGTAGAGCAATATAAACATTCATTTTGAGATTTCATTCTCAGATTTTTGTTTTTTCTTTTTTTTTTTTGTCGGTCGTGGGGCTTGAACTCTGGGCCTGGGTGCTGTCCCTCAGCTCTTCAGCTCAAGGCGAGTGCTCTACCGCTTGAGCTACAGCACCACTTCCGGTTTTCTGGTGGTTTAATGGAGATAGGAGTCTCACGGTCTCTCCTGCCCGGGGTGGCTTTGAACCACGATCCTCAGATCTCAGCCTCCTGAGTAGCTAGGATTACAGGCGTGAGCCACCAGCGCCCGGCAGATTTTTGTTTTTTCTTCGTGTGTTTGTGTGTGTGTCTGTGTGTGTGTCTGTGTCTCCCCGTGTGTCTGTCCGTCCATCCATCTGTGTGTCCGTCTGGATCCTGGGGCTTGAAATTAGGACCTACATACTGTCTAAGCTTTTGTGCTCAAGGCTGGTGCTCTACCACTTGAGGCATATCTCCATTTCTAGCAGTCTTATGGACCGTTCTGCCTGGGCTGGCTTTGAACCTCTGTTCTCATATCTCAGCCTCCTGAGTAGCTAGGATTACAGGCACGAGCCTGTAATCATAGTATACTTTACTTAACCTATCCTCTTCAGAGTAAAAATACTCTCCTTTAAAGCTAACTCCTTTCAACAGATGAGAGATTTTATACATATACGTGCTTCTTCTTTTGTATACTTTCCTTTCCTCATTTTTCCTGATCTCCTTATAAACCTCTCTTAATTAAGAAAATATATTTTACCTTGCAATTATTTGTTTTGTGGGATCAAGTACAGGACCTTGTATGTTCACAGCAAGCTTTCTACTACTGAGTTCACTTTGGAAATTTAGCTGAATTGCACAACTTTGTATTCTTGTCTCCTTGTCTTCATCATTTTCTTCTTTTACTAATTTACAGTTTCTATTCTACTTTTAGAATACCTTTATTATTTGTTAATCAGGAACTTAGGGCCTCATATACTTGCTTGGCTTTTTCCGCTTGTGACTGGTACTGTACCATGTGAACTACGCCTCCACATCTAGCATTTGGCTGGTTAATCAGATATAGGAGTCTCTCAAATTTGTCTGCCCTGGCTAACTTCATATTAACTTTTCAGATCAGTTGCTTGAGTAGCTATGTTTATAGGCATTCGTAATTGGTGTCCAGTCCTTTCTGAATCTTGCTGAAGAAGTGCTTAGTACTCCTTACATGCTTATTATAAACTACTTATTCTACTGTACTAGAATTTGAAATAGGCCTTGTGCTAATTAAGATACTGTACAACTTGAACCACACTCCCACCATTTTTTGCTCTAGTTTTTTTACTTTTTTTTTTTTTTTTTTTTGATGCTGGTACTGTGGCTTGAGCTCAAGGCCTTTCTCTCTTGCTTGGCTTTTTTCCTCAAAGCCGGTGTTCTACCATTTGCACCACACTTTTACTTGCAGCTTTTTTATTTTTCATTACGTAGTTCTATAGAGATTACAATTCCATATTTCATCCCTTCCATTGTTCTCCCCATTTTTTCTTCTTTCATTCTCTACCCTCAAGTTATGTAACTCAGTTTTTGTATAATGTACAATGAATATATTGGCTGCATCTACTTGGAACTTTTTGCTGGTTATTTGGAACCTGGCTGGCTTCAAACCAGGATCATCTGACTTCATCCTCTGAGTAGCTAGGATTACAGGCATGAGCCACCAGTATCCTATTGGTCTGTTGTTTTTTTTTTTTTGGGTCTGGTCGTGGGGTCTGAACTCTGGGCCTGGGCGCTGTCCACAGCGCCACTTCCGGCTTTTTTCTTTTTGCTTATATGGTGCTGAGGAATCAAACCCAGGGCCTCAGGCTTGCAAGGCAAGCGCTCTACCACTGAGCCACCTTCCCATCCCCCTGTTTTTGTTTTTTTGTTTCTATTTGTTGTTGTTTTGTGTCAGTTCTGGGAATTGAACTAGGCCTGATGCTGCCCTTGAACTTTTTTGTTAAAGGCTAGCATTCTACCACTTGAGCCATAGCTCTACTTCTGGTAGAGTTAAGAGTTAATTGCAGATAAGGGTCTCCCAGACTTTCCTGTTCAGGCTGGTTTTGAATCATGATCCTCAGATCTTACCCTCTGGAGTGGGATTATAGGCATGAGTCACTAGTCTAGCTGCTGGGGTTGTAATTATTTTATTTATTTATTGTTGTAGGTCAGAGGCCTTGAACTCAGGGCTTGGGTGCTGTCCCTGAGTTCTTTTGCTCAAAGCTAGTGCTCTATCACTTTGAACCACAGGGCCATTTCTGGTTTTTCAGTGGTTACTTGAAATAAGAGTCTCACATTTTTCTACTTGGGCTGGCTTTGAACTGTGTTCCTCAGATCTCAGCCTCTGAGTAGCTAGGATTACAGGCATGAGCCACTGGTGCCCAGCTGTGCCCTCCTTATTTTTATGTTTTTGATTGGGTAATGCTGTGTAGCCCAGCCTGGCTCTGACATCCTCTTAGAGGAGCTCAGCTTCTCAAGTGCTGGGATAACAAGCATGAACTACCATTCTTTTCCTTTTCCTTTTTTCTTCTTCTCTGTTTTCTTCTTTTCCTTTATTTCTTCCCCTCCTTTCCTCCTCATTCTTTCTCTCCCTCCATTCTCCATTTCTCTTTTCTTTTCCTTCCTTTATTCTCCTTTTTTTGAGGAATATGATCTTGCCTTGTAGCCCAAGCTGGCTTAAAACTCCCCATGTAGCCCTGGGATTTGTGGTCTTCTCACCTTGGTCTCCCAAGTGCTAGAGTTAGTGTCATGCTAATACACCAAGCAACATGTAGCTCTGGTTGGCATTGAACTCTGAATCTTTTTGCCTCTTCCTCTTTGCTCATTGAGTATGCTACCAAGTCTAGTCCCTTTTTTTCTTTTAGCATTTTAAAATTAGCTTACATTAGTATACAAAGTGGGATTTCATTGTTAGATTTCCATACAAGTTTACAATATATTTGCCTTTCTTTTTAACTAAGGAGAAAAATGTGAAAAAAGTTTTAAATAGTGACCTATAAGAAAGAATATATGGGGCTGGGAAGGTGGCTCAGTGGTAGAGCACTTGCCTTGCATGCTCGAGGCCCTGGGTTCGATTCCTCAGCACCACATAAGCAAAAAGAGAAAAGCCGGAAGTGGCGCTGTGGCTTAAGTGGTAGAGCGCTATCCTTGAGCTGAAGAGCTGAGGGACAGTGCCCAGGCCCAGAGTTCAGGCCCCACAACTGGACCCAAAAAAAAAATAAAAAAAAGAAAGAATATATGTTACTGATAAATTGGATGTCAGATTAGTGGTTTGATAAAGAATCTGTCGTAGTTCTGTGAAGAAGTATCCTGCCATTTGACAATAACATCTTAGTTTTGGTCTTTTGTTTTCAGACAAGGTCTTGCTATATCGCTGACAGGCCTAGAACTAGTATTCCTCCTGCTCAGTGTCCCTAGTGCTGGGGTTACAGATGTGTGCCACATCCTGTCTTCAAACTAGCTCTTATGAGACACTTTATAGTTGCTTTATATTTTTCTTTTTGAGTGTGATTACTTTTGATTTGTATATGATGCGGTTACTTTGTAGATTATTTTAGGTTATGATTATAGTTTTCTGTTTCTTGTGTCTGTATGTTTTTCTTAGATTATAAACTCCTTAAAATAGGAATAATGGTTGGCTGACTTACGCTGTATAATACCATACAAGTACTGATTGATGACTGCTTTTTTATGCTGATGGTGATTGGAGTTTCTTCTACTTTGAACCATTATATGATGTATTGAGGAGGGAAAAGTTAAACAATAATGTTTTCTCAATCTCTTTCAGCATTTGCTCTTGCAGAATTAATTGATAATTCATTGTCGGCTACTTCTCATAATGTTGGTATTAGAAGAATACAGATTAAGTTGGTAAGAAAATGCATGAAGAAATAAAAGTTTTTGGCTGGGAATGTGGCTTAGTAGTAGGGTACTTGCCTAGCATGCATGAAACCCTGTGTTCTATTCCTTAGTATCACATAAGTAGAAAAAAGCCAGAAGTGGCACTGTGGCTCAAGTGGTAGAGTGCTAGCGTTGAGCACAGAGAGGCTCAGGGACAGAGCCCAGGCCCTGAGTTCAAACCCCAAGACTGGCAAAAAAAAAGAAATTTAAATTTTTTATAAGAACAGAAAAAAAAGAAAAAGATATAGCAAGGGTAGTAATACTAATTTGATGTCTTTATCCAGTGTTAAGATTTTTTCCATTAGTCTTATTTTCTATGCATATGATATGTTTGTTTACATGTGGAATACACTTAAAAAAATAAACCTCCCTCTTTCCTAGAAATACATTGTAAACATTTGATATATGACTAGTCTACAATACAGTATTCCATTGCTGCAGAGTGATTTGTTTGCTGTAGTGTAAGTTACATAATCTGTTTCCCTATACTTTTGCCATTAGGAAAAATGCAAAGATGATGAATACTAATATGTCTCTGTACATGTCCTTTAGTTATTTCCTTAAGTCGAATTCTGTGAAGTGAATTTTCTGGGTGAAGGAGACATGAATAATTCTAAGGCAAGCCAGGTGCCAGTGACTCATGTTTGTAATCTTCAGAAAGCTAAGATCTGAGGATCGTGGCTCAGAGCTAGCCCAGGCAGGAAACTGTGAGACTCTTATCTCCAGTTAACTACTAGAAAAACCAGAAATGGCTCTGTGTCTCAAGTGGTAGAGCACTGGCCTTGCGCTGAAGAGTGCAAAGAGAGTGCTCAGGCCCAGAGTTCAAGCCCTATGACCGACAAAGAAAAAAGAAATTCTAAGGCTTTTGGTAGATTTGGCTGAAGTGCCTTTCAGAAAGTTGTATTACTTTATACTTCTACCAGCAATGTAGAATCATATATACTGAATCATATTTATTGAAATATATATATATGTATCACAAATATTGAGTTGATTGTTCTTGTCTTTTTGAACTTTTGTTTCATAGCTTTTTGATGAAACACAAGGAAAACCTGCAGTGGCGGTGATAGATAATGGAAGAGGAATGACCTCTAAACAGCTTAACAACTGGGCTGTGTACAGGTTGTCAAAATTTACAAGGCAAGGTGACTTTGAAAGGTTAGAAAATTTTACATTTTTTAAATGGGTGGCTGTATTTAAAGGTAACTCTTAATGTGCCTTTATATACATGCAATACATTAAAGTATTTAGATTTTAACATATTTAGGTTTTATTATAGAGTTTTTGTGATTAATATTAGAAGTAGAATTATATACTATTGTGCCTTATAAGATAAAATGCTTTAATGAACAGTTCTTTTTGCATTTCCTGAAGTAGAAGGGGTTATACTTATACATTAAATACCTTAGAACCTTTCCCCCTTTTCTTTCTAAGTGAGATAAGAGCTATTTAGGCCAACAGACTAAATTTAAAATAAGCTTTAGAAATCACTTCATGTCACTAGCAAAATGTCTGAAAGTGCATGAAGTTTGGACTTCTGTTTTTTTTTTTTTAATTTTTTTTGTGTGGGGCGGGTCTGGTCATGGGGCCTGAACTCTGGGCCTGGGTGCTGTCCCTCAGCTCTCGGCTCAAGGCTAGCACTCTACCATTTGAACCACAGCGCCACTTCAGGCTTTTTTTTTTTAATGCTTATGTGGTGCTGAGGAATTGAACCCAGGGCCTCAAGCATGCAAGGCAAATGCTCTACCACTGAGCCACCTTCCCAGCCCCAACCTTCTGTATTTTTATATTTTAGTGTCCTGTTTTTCAAAACATTTATGGTAATTTGGGAATAGAACCCTGTTTTGTTTCATAATAGACTTGTAAAAAATGTCCTGAATAAGACAAATATGCTGAAAACTACTATAAAGGTAAATATTTAGCCTGGTGCTGGTGGCTCAGGCCTGTAATCCTAGCTGCTCAGGAGGCTGAGATCTGAGGATGGTGGTTTGAAGCCAGACAGAGCAGGAAAATCTGTGAGACTCTTTTCTCCAGGGAATTAACCACCTGAAAACAAAACTGGAAGTGGAGCTGTGGCTCACAGTGGTAGATCCCTAGCTTGAGGACAGCACCCAGGCCCGGGGTTCAAGATTCATGAACAAAAACAAACAAAAAGGATAAATATTTAAATTCTGGTAATAGTGTACAACTCTATTAGGAAAAGATTTGACCCACAAGTCTTTTTTTTTTGCCGGTCGTGGGGCTTGAACTCTGGATCTGGGCACTGTCCCCCAGCTCTTCAGTTCAAGGCTAGCACTCTTCCACTTGAGCTACAGCGCCACTTCTGGCTTTTTCTGCTTATTTCGTGCTGAGGAATCGAATCTAGGGCCTCATGCATGCAAGGCAAGCACTCTACCACTGAGCCACCTTCCCAGCCCCCTACAAGTCTTTGTTTTTGTTTTTTCCTGTGCCAGATCTGAGTGTCATTCCTGAGTTTTTGTGCTCAAGGCACAAAAAAGGATTAGAGGCAAGAGCTACTGGCACCTGTTTGTTTTTTGTTTTTTGTGTTTTTTTCCCCACCAAGTCCTGGGACTTGAACTCAGAGTCTGGGTGCTGTCCCTGAGATTTTTTTTTGCTTGATCCTAGTGTACTACTACTTCAGCCTCAGCTCCACTTCTAGCTTTTAGGTGGTTATTTGGAGGTAAGAGTCAGAGTCTCATGGACTTTTTTGCCCAGGCTGCCTTTGAACCATGATCCTCAGATCTCAGCCTCCTGAGTAGCTAGGATAACAGGAGTAAGGCACCAATATCCCATAAGTTTCTGATATTTTAAGTTGTAGATTTGAGATAGCTTTCTTTCTCCTCTCCCTTCCCGTCTCCTTCCCCTTTTCTCCCCTCTCCTCTTCTTTTCTTTTTTTGTTTTTCTAATGGTCTCCTATAGCCCAGACTGCCCTGGAATTTGTATTTCTCTTATCTCACTCTCCCAAGTGCTAAGATTATAGGTGTGCACCACTATATCCTGATTTAGTTTGTGTATTTTTTCCTTATGGTCAAACAACATATTCTAAATTATTTCAGGGCTTTTAAATGTATTTGGTTTTGTTTTATGATCTAGGATGTTACCTATCTTGGTGTATTTTCTCTGTGTCCCTGAAAAGAAGGTGTAGAGTTGCTATTTGGATTTTTAATTTCTTGATCCTCATGCTGACTTTTGGTATGTGGTATTTTCTGTTTTTTTTTGGGTCCGGTCGTGGGGCCTGAACTCTGGGCCTGGGCGCTGTCCCTCAGCTCTTCAGCTCAAGGCTAGTGCTCTAACACTTGAGCCACAGCGCCACTTCTGGCTTTTTTCTTTTTGCTTATATGGTGCTGAGGAATCGAACCCAGGGCCTCATGTATGCAAGGCAAGTGCTCTACTACTGAGCCACCTTCCCAGCCCCGTGTGTGGTATTTTCTGAAAGACATACTTTTGAAGTAGATACATTTTTATTGTAAAGGTTATGTACAGAAAGTTACAGTTATGTAAGTCAGGTAACAAGTACGTATCTTTTGGACAGTGTCATCTCTTCCTTTTCTCCCAGTTTTTCCCTCCTGATTCTCCCCTTCCAAATTGTTCTTTTTCAATATAGTGAGAATCAGTGCTGTATTTGTTCACCCTTTATATAACTAATAGATGCAAATTAAAATCTTTTAAAAGCTATATAAGGATGTTTTGTTTTAATAATACATTTTATTTTTATTTAATGAACACAATATTAGTAATAGTTTTTCCCAGCCATATACCCTTCAGTTTTACTAGCCATTTCTTTTTTTTTTTTTTACTTTTTTTTTTTT